AGTGGGTCACCTGACACAGAGTAAATGTTCAAATGAAGATGCCAGCAGTTCTGAACAGAATCACTACTGACGTTTAAAAAATGAAAACTCTCCTTACCTAAAAAATGTGCTGACTGGACTTAATTCTCTCTAAGAGAGTGGAGTTCTGTGTGTGGCACTATAGGATTATCAGTGGACTGCTAACTGCAATGTCGGTTGTTCAAACCTACCTGGCACTCTTGGAAACCCTATGTAGGGTCACTCTAAGTTGGAACTGACGTGACAGCACTTACCAACAAAAGCAGCAATAGAGTCCTGGTGTGGTTCTGTAGGATTAACTCGGGACTGCTAACTGCAATATTGGTGGTTCAAACCCACCAGCTGCTCCTTGGGAACCTACAGGGCTGCTGTGGATCAGAACCAACCCAAAGACATTTAACAACAATAAAGCAGTACCAAAAGAATGGAGTCCAGTACTAAGAAAGCCAGTGGCCATCAATTGGCTCATGGTGGTCTCATGTTGTCAGACTACAACTCTACTCATAGGATTTTCAATGAGTGTTTTGTTTTGTTTTGTTTTTTTGAAGGAGATCAGCAGAGCTTTCTTTTGGAAACATCTCTGGGTTGTTTCAAACCTCCAATCTTTTGGGTAACCATTAAGTGTGTTAACACTTGCACCAGCCAGGGACTCCATCCATTAATAAAAGGTCCTGCATCAGGATTGGAGGAAGGCTTCTTAACAACCTACAATATGCAGATGGCACAACCTTGCTGGCTGAAAGTGAAGAGGACTTGAAATACTGAAAACGGTCAAACACTACAACCTTCGGTATGGATTGCACCTAAATGTAAAGAAAACAAAAATCCTCACAACTGACGAACAAATAACATTATAATAAACAGAGAAAAGATTGAAATTGTCAAATATTAAATTTTACTTTGATCCATAATCTTGGAAGCAGCAGTCAAGAAATCGAACAATATATTACGTTAGGCAAATCTGCTTCAAAAGACCCCTTTAAAGTATTAAAGAGCAAAGGAACCACTTTGAGGACTAAGGTGCACCTGTCCTAAACCTTGATGTTTCAATCACCCCATATGCATGTGACAGTTAGACAGTGAATAAGGAAAACTATTGAATAATTGGTGCATTTGAATTGTGGTATTGTGTAAGAATATTGAAAGTACCATGGCTTTCCAGAACAAACAAATCTTTCTTGGAAGAAGTACAGCCAGAATGCTCCTTATAAGCACGGATAGCAAGACTTTATCTTTCATGCTTTGTACGTGCTATCCGAAGAGATCAGTCCCTCGAGAAGGAATTCATGCTTGGGAAAGTGGAGAGTCAGCGAAAAAGAGGAAGCTGCTCAACAAGATGGATTAACACAGTGACAGCAACGTAACCATTGTGAGGTTGGTGCAGGACTGAGCAGCGTTTCATTCTGTTGTGTAAGAGGGTCTGTTAGGCCCCCTTGTGGCCTAATCCAGTAGGAGACCCCAAAAAGATCATCAGGACTCGAGTTCGATGCAATAGCAAGAGGTTTATTTCCAACACGCTGGGGTCCACCTTCACAGACTCCTAAAACAGGAAACAAAGGCGACCCCGACTCACTGTACACACAAGTTATTTTAGGGTTTCAGGGGGCATAATTGCACAACACTATAGATACAGTCTCTGATTGGTTGACATTTGGCAAAGTATGAGAAGTTACAGTTTAATTGGTCATTACTGGTGGTCTTTTGTTCTTAGGCTAGGATAAGGAAAACATCTGGCATCTGGCCTTGGGTTGTTCTGTCTACTGCTTATCTAATTCTTGCTGTTGCTAGGGGTGAAAGGATATTCTAAGGCAGCAGGAGCTGATTTAGCACGTTCCTGGAACAGGAGGACGTGTTCAGGCTAATGTACAGAATGGAGTCTTTTTCTTGGTCCTACATTCCCTCTTTTACAAGAAGCTTGACTATTCCTATCCGTCTGGGTCAGGACCGTTATGAGTTTCTCAAGGATTATTTTGACATTGGGGTTTTCAGGGCTGACCGATTGGCCTCATCTCTGGAGGGAACTGAAAACTGAGGCCTTGTCTGTCCAAAAGGTTCTTCTGAAGCCTGACTAGAGTTTAGTCAAGTAGTCTCGAGTTAGGTATAATCAGGTGGGTCCTTACAGGTCATTATGAGTCGGAACTGACTCCAAGGCACCTAACAACAAGAGTGTTACTTTAGATTGTGCCCAGTTATCAAGAGAATATTGGCTGACATACATTCTTGATAGGCATATCTGTAAAGCTATTGTTTGTTCCCCTCAAGCCAAGTCATCCTACTCAGCCCTGAAGCAATATCACTGTCTGCAGGTGAGGAAGCCAAGGGGCTTCCTGACCTTCAAGCTTTCTCCAGGTCTCCTCTTGGCAGGATGAACATCAGCAGCTTAGTGTCCCTTTCCAATTCTCTGTTTTCTTAAAAAAAAAAAAAAAAAAGAACTCTACTGCCTCATAACTCTCCAAGACGAAGACATGCATTCACACCTCAGAGAAGAAATGAAAATTCCTGGTGTCTTTTTCATCTCATCTGAGATCCCTGCATTTGTTCCAGTTAAGACTACTGGACTTGAAATCAAGAGAGCTGAGTTTGCCACCTGCCAGCTGTGGATCCCGGTCATGCACTGAACTTTCACCATCCTCACAAACCTCCCTCATTTGTAAATTGGGCATCACACACATCTGTCTCTGCATTCACAGTGAATTCAAATAAAGCCCAAAGAGAACTGAGGGGCAGCTAGGGGCCACTTGGATATCCCCTGCAGTTTCAACTTCTCCATTCAGCTGTTTCCTGGTCTGCATAATACAACTTCTTCCAACATGCTGTGCACCAAAGTAGTTCATTGGAAACACAGTAATTAGCATTACAGACAAAATGACACTACTGAATGTTAATTACTAGTGCAGATGTACCGTTAGATATCATACATAATGTTGTCAAGCCCTTATTTTTAAATTAAAGTGCAACAAACCGTACCCCGGCTACACAGCTTTTTTTGATTAATACAAATTAATGTTATTTTGGTGTCTAGGGAAAGGGTGGGGACCAGGGGAGTGTTAGAGCTCATTGTAAGAGTCCATAGTCCAGTGATAGACTATCAGATGGATTCCCCATAACCCTGTCCCCACGGTGGGCTCTTCTTAATGGAGAGCGTGGTCGCCACAAGGTCAGAGACCATGCTTGGTTTTGCTCACCATCCCATCCCCAGCATCTAACTCACTGTCGGGTGTGCAGTAAGTAAGCATTTGCTGAATAAATGATGGAGTCATGAAAGAACGAGGATAGAGCCAGGCATACAGAGAGATGTGGAAGTGAAGTGAAAGAACTAGATGGCATATGATTTATGCCTGAATCCCCCAATTTCGTGTTTGCTTCAGGGCCTTCAAAATTATCTTGATGCTTCCCACATCTAAAGCTTTCAAATCTGAAACGAGAGATGAGTGAACCGTCCCAGTGAAGAAGCCAGTTCAAGCTTCTCATCGTGACTTTTGGCAGCAATGCTACTTCCCAGTGGTCTCTAGTGGGTGGGGAAGATCAGAGAGGCACCCATTCAGTAAGCCAAAAGGAAAGGAGAGAAGAGAATAAACCTTTTTGATTAGTCTATAAGAAGCTCTGGTAGCGTAGTGGTTACGAATCAGGCTGCTAACCTCTAGGTTGGCAGTTTGAAACTACCAGCTGTTCCATGGGAGAAAGATGAGGCTTTCTGCTCCCGTAAAGATTTACAGCCTCGGAAACCCTGTGCAGGGTCACTATGAGTCGGAACCGACTCCACGGCACTTAACAAGAACAATACCATATATTATTTGCAGAGTCCTGGTGTGGTGCTGTAGGTTTAAGCACTGGGCTACTAACCACAAGGTCAGCAGTTCAAACCCACCAGCCGCTCCTCAGAAACCCTATACAGTGTTGCTATGAGTCAGATTGCAGTTAACAACAACATATATTATTTTCAGGTGAACGTTAATGCTGTCGAACAAATACATTACAACATACTAATAAAAGGATCAGAAGTGACAAGAAGCCCTTCAGGAATTATGTAGAATAGAAGGCTGGGCCTAAAGGAGTCACAATAACCAGGAAGAAAATCTAAGTAGCTAGGTAGGTCAGAAGCATTCCATCCAGGCCCATTCAGAGTGTCCCCTAAGCTTCAGCTTCTGCTTCCAGCACTAAAGACAACCCCACAGAGGAAGGCATAGAGGCGCAGGTAGAATCCAGAGTCTGAGAGTCAATTGTGGAGAGATGCCAAGGTCATAGTTAGAAACATGAAGTGAAATTTCAAGACCAAAGAGAGAAGATGGCAGTACAGCCAAGCTGTAAGGTTAGTTTGGGAGGTCTGAAGTAAGATGGAATCAGGGATGAGGAGTACGTCTGGGAATCTGTGAAATGGGAAGCTTTGTCACACTCCAGCCATGAGCTGTGGAGAAGACCTAGAGTTCTCATTTGGGGGCAGTGTTTGGTTGTAAGGGTGGGAACAGGTCCTAAGCAAGATATAGTGGATTGAACTCATGAGACTTTGATCTTAGACCTTTGGTCTCCCACTATGGTTTGCTCCTATTCACCCACTTTCACTTCCTTGTTCCTCATTTGACCTTCTTAGCAATTCACCTATGGTGTTTTCTCCAATTTCTCACAGTTGAGAAATGGTCCTTTTGTAGTACCTGTACCATATAAGGTAAAAGAGACAAGTTAATTTTTATGGTAAAATTTGTGATACAAGGGACAAAGGATAATGTATAAAATGTTAGTTACAGTGTATGAAAAGTCTCCTTTGGGTTCCTACCTATAATTCCTAGCTTACAGTGCTGTTTATGTCTTAGAGGAGGGACCAGGAGCACCCTCAGTGGGGGTTACCACTTCCGTGCCACATGTGAACTTGGCCTAACATCTCTCCATCCACTGTGAAGCTAATGGCATTGGTCTCAGCGCCATGCAGGTGTTAGTGGGAAACGGAAGGAACGAGCCTTGCATGATGTGTTGCTCATTTCTTGCAGGTCAGCGGGACCATGTACAACACTGGAAGACACGTGTCCCTCCGCCTGGACAAAGAGCACTTAGTCAATATATCAGGAGGGCCCATGACATACAGCCACCGGCTGGAGGAGATCCGGCTACACTTTGGGAGTGAGGACAGCCAAGGTTCTGAACACCTTCTCAATGGACAGGCCTTCTCTGGGGAGGTAAGTAGGTTGTTGAAAGTCCTAAGAACTGAGAAGTACTGAGTGCCAAGGTAGATCAAAGTTGGAAAGATTTCTCTTGAACCTATGAAATGAGAAGGTGTGTGTCTCCTTTCTTCATCTGTCCTTTGCAGATTGGAGTGGAAGTCTTTAACGAAAGCCCCCTATTTTCTAAAGGAAAACCCCAGTGAAGCTGGTTATTTCCTACGGAAGCAATAGTGCACCTCCCCTGTGAGGACATTCCAGGGCATTCTATCACCTCATACCCAAACGTTTATGTGTATCTTCACTTACACCCATCTGGGATGCCAACCTTTTATATGTCACGTGTTATAGCATTAAACAAACCACTGCCTTCAAGTTGATTCTGACTCACAGTGACCCAGCAGCCCAGAGGAGAACTCCCCCATAGGGTTTCCAAGGGTGTAATCATTTTGGAAGGAGACTGCCAGGTCTTTCTTTTGCAGAGCTGCTGGTGGGTTCCAATCACTAAACTCTCGGTTATTAGCCAAGCACTTGAGTGCCTCCAAGCCTTCTTTGTCATAGCACAGATCCCATACTTCTCCCTTCTGGAAGAGTGGATCTTATTTGTATAAAACTATAACATGCTGTAAAATAAATGTCAGACAGCTAAACTGTCCTTCTGAGCTTCTGTAGAATGGAAATGTCATTGAGAGTCATTAATGACAAGTGTCACTGAGTGCCACCATCAACCCAGACCTCAGGACACAACCACAGTTTCAATTATAGGGCGAGGGCTTCCGTTAAACAGATGTCATCGATAATATGATGCTTGGCTAATGGGGCATAATTAATTTGACCCATTTTTGATCTTGGCATATGAGAGTAGCTATCAGCTAGAGACTGGCATCCCTTATATGCTAAATACCCTGTAACTGCATTTCTGCTTGAGTCCTCAATATCTGCCTTCAGGGAGACTTTGGAATTTCATGAATATGATCTCATTACAAACGTGGCTTTTTTTTTTTTTTTTTAATCAAAATCATTTTTAAACCTTGCTGTTTTTAATATGGCAAGGCCATACAGTGAGAAACAGATCCACAACCTTGATGAGTCTAGGGACCGTATTTTAATCTGTGTTTAAAACTTACTTAGGCACTTGCCTGGTTACCTGGGATACAGAGCTTTTTTTTAAGGGGTCGGGGAGGGGAATCAGCATTTCTATCAAGAAGAGCTCAAAGTCTAGTATAATACAACATTTAAAGTATAATAATCATGTTGTAATGGAGGTACACGAAGGCTCCGACAAGCTCAAAGAAGGTAATGACAGATTTGACTCTCAGGAATCAGAAAAAGCTTCATAGCAGAGCTGCCCTGTGTGAGCTTGGCTGTGAAGGAGGCAATGGAGAAATGATTTTAAGAGCATCTGCTTTGGAGTCAAAGGACTTGAGTTAGTCTCTGCTTTGATACAGGCTAACTGTGTGATCTTGGGAAGATGACTTAATTCCTCAAAAGGTCAGTTTCAGTACCTTTCAAGGTTGTTTGAGAATTCACTGGGATTGTAGATGTGAGGAACCTTGGAAATACTGAGTGGTTGACAGATCACAAAGTTCTATCAGGGAACTTAGCGTTTCAAACTCAGAGACAGCTTGAGCAAAGGCACTGAGGCATGGCAGGGCACTGTGTGTTGGGGAAGTTGCACACAGATTTCATCTAGCATGTCAGCTCTTATCTATTAGTAATGGCTGCACAGATGACCTAGTTGAACATGAATGTGAGTCTACTTCCTGAATCTGTCGGAAAAAATGATTAGAGATTGATTAGAGATGTCTACCAAAGGCACTAAACTAGAACGGTGAAGGGAATATGCTAAAAACAGGGCAATGACAGTCAAACTGAGAGTAACAGGGGGACTGCTAAAGAGCGCTGGTGGCACAGTGGGTAAAGCAGTGGGCTGCTAACCAAAAGGTCAGTGGTTCAAACCCACCAGCCTCTCTGAGGGAGAAAGATTAGGTAATCTGCTTCCATAACAATTGACAGCCTTGGAAACCCTGTGGGGTAGTTCTTGTCTGTCTTATAAAGCCATTTGAATGGGAATCAACTCAGCACTAGTGGATTAGGTTTTATTTGGGGGTGGGTGGAGGGTTTGAAGTAGAGAATACTTTGATCACTCTTCTTCTTTAAAATATAGATGGATTTAAATTTTAAAAATTACTTTCTTAAGTAGTTTCTTTTCATAATTGTTTTTTTTTGTTGACTCACTTGTTTATTTTGTTGATTTGTTTGCTATAGTGGCTTTGTTTTTCTCTCCAACCGGATGTTATTTTCCAACGCCTGTCACCATGTTGCCTCAGGGTAGAAGTGTTTGTTAAATAGGTTGATGGAAAAAAGTTAAAAGATACTAGCTTGTAGAATTCCTTAGATTTCCTTGTATCTTTAAAAGACAATAAGGTTCTTTTTATCCTGTAAATGAGCTTCAAGTTTGTAGGAGAAAATGAGTGTTTTCAAATCCTCAAGAGAAACATATAGCGATTTAACCCCTTAGTGTCTTCATTTCCTATACCCACCCCAGGCCAAAGGTATTAGACCCAAGGGACGCTAGGAATCTGAGATTAGGAGTTTATAAGTGAGTTGGTCATTAGGTTTGTGAAGCACCCTCTCTGGTATGTTTATTAAGAAGTTCTTTCAGTGAAGAAAGTATTGGACAGAATTATACATTAGAATTAACGGGAGTATTTGGTGCTGCAAGATCAGTTTGAATTGCAAAGTCAGTGGTTCAAGCTCATCAGCCGCTCCACGGAAACCATATATAGGGTCGCTATGAGTTGGAACAGCCTCTACGGCACTTAACAACAACCATTTTCAAAATATTTATGTTTGACTCCTTCCCCAAACTCTGAGGATAAGAATATCCAGGAATTGGGGTCCATATGTGAGGATTTATTTAAAAATTCCCCAAGGAATTCTGGTTGGGGACCACTATATCAGTTCCAGCTCACGTCTCTAAATGATGAAGACTTCAAAAAAGAAAGCGAATAAAGTTACAACTGAGTATTTATAACTCATAGCCACCCCACGTGTGTCAGAGTAGTACTCAGTTCCTCAGGATTTTCAATGACTGTGATGTGACTTTTGTAAGTGGATTGCCAGGACTTTCTTCCAACACATCTCTGGGTAGACTTGAACTGCCAACCTTTTGGTTAGTAGCAGAGCGTATGAGTCATTTGCACCACTCAGGGACTCCAGTAGGGACTTAATTAGAACCTCATCAATGTACTACAGAGGGCAACCAGAGGTAATTACAAATGGAAACTTAGGGTGCTAGGACTGATTGGGTTTGGGGAGCAGTTTCCTGAGCAGAGTTATCATACACACAAGGAAGGCTTGAGAGCCTACCACAGTGTACGTACAGTTAGACCTTGCTCTGTATAGACCACCTCAGCGGTATTACAGTTTTTTTGAGAGTGATCTGTAAACAAACTGCTGTGGGTTAGGCACAAGAAATCAGAAAATTCAAGGCACTGAAACAATATCATGAGAATAGCAGTTGAATCAGCATCGGGCCTTTGAGATTTTTAAAAGGTATTAGAGTCACTAGGAGTCTGGTATGGTGTTATAGTTAACGCGCTGAATTCAGTGTCAGTTTGAACCGCAAGGTCAATGGTTCAAGCTCAATAGCCACTCCTTGGAAAACCCTATACAGGGTCGCTGTGAGTCAGAACTGACTCCATGGCATTTAACAACAACAGAGAGTCAGTAGGAGTCAGCATGAACTGGCCATGAAAACCCGAGGGATCACAGCGATTCCATCCCGACATGCCAGGGGTCCCCATGAGTCTGGGGCCAACTCAGCAGCCCCTGATTACAGCAAGTACAGCAGGAAGAGTTTGGCATCTTCTGTGTGGCCCAGACCCAATGGGTGGAAGCTCCAGGAAGAAAGGATTCAGCTAGCTATCCACCAATGGAATGAGCAAGAAGGAAACAGTGAGCTACAGTCACAGGAAGTATTAAGTATGAAACTGAATTTGGGGCCTTCATGAAAGTGACTTGCATCCTAATGATTGGGTAGACACTTAGCTCCTCATGCTGACATTCTACACGCTCCATGATTTCCTCGTAGAAAAGTTCACCCAGTTGGGTTCTACTGTAAGTATCTCTCTTCCTATAGGTTACCTCTTTAATTTCTTTCGTGCTACCTTCAAAGCTACCTCTCTTTGGTCTCTATTTTTGGTTATCCTTTGAGAGGACCCAAGTAACCACTTCTAGCAACATAGCTTTTGTTGACATGATGTTGTTGACAGTGAATAATCGCATTGCTGTGGGTCCCATCTATCATTGCCGATGGTGATAAGTCAATTAATGCCAGCCATTCTTCCTTGGCATGATGTAACACTCGTTATCTGAAGCGCTGTAGAGTAATTGTAGTCTTGTCTAGTGAGGTTATTGTAATTGATGGTAATCATTTGCTTTGTTTTCTAAAGCTGCGTGGATGTACGATACAGTCAGCAACTGCGTTTTTATAAAAATTATTCATGTCCTACTCAGAGAACTCCGGACGTCTTGTTGGGGGTTGGTGATAAATGAGCATATTCAGGGATTCAAATGTCTCGATTTTTTTTTTAAGAAGAGAAAATTAACTGTTTTTAATAAGTAAGACCCTTGGCTTGCTAATCGTGTCTAAGTGGTTAGATTAATGTCCGGTAGAAAGTAGGGTACTTATGAAAAGAAGCAAATGCCTTCACAGGGCAAGAAATAATATTTGAAAAGAATGCATGCCCATGGATTGGTGGCAGTAGGGAAGCAGAAGAGTCCCTTAGTAATGCATGTGGCTAACACACTCGACTGCCAACCAAAAGATTGAAGTTCTAACCCATCCACAGGTGCCTACAAAAAAAAGGCCTGGCGACATGCTTCCAAAACATCAGCCGTTGAAAACTCTGGGAACACAGTTCTCCTCTGACACAGTGCGTTGGAGATAACGCAACAAAAGTTGGTTTGACTTTGTTTTTACTGAGATTGGAAAAGAAGAATCCTATTTAGGG